AATGAACTGTTTGCAGCTGAAAGAACTTTTGAGTGATTTTAAAGGTTCTATTGGCCAACCAGAAATGTGATTTTTCCGGGATCACCACACAAAATTATTCTCTCGTAGTCAGTTGATTCACTGCCATGCTGTATAAAATTGTCAACAAGTTTCAAGGGTGGCATATAAACATATAGCTGCTTGCGTGTGCGTACAGCATTTCGAATTAGATTGCCTTCAGCTTTGACAGCAAAATGAGTGGATTAAGTCTTTGTTACTGCAAAAACCGCCCTGGCAGTTGCAACAATTGGCGTTAATTGGCGCAAAATGAGTGGATTAAGTCTTTGTTACCGCAAAATCGCCCTGGCAGTTGCAACAAGCTGGCTGATTTCTTTGAATTGCTTGATGACACTTCGAGCATGCGAATTTTCTGCTGAAAAATCATGATTGTGCTTCCCACACGTCTCGATCGATTCGTTTTTTTTCTGTAACAGTAGATGCTCGACATTTATTTTTGGTAATTTGAGCACAACTTTATTTGAGCTCGACTTTAAGTTATTTACTAAGCTTCATTTTTGCAATGATTACTGTGATGACCCAAGTTTTCATTTTGCCGAGTGCGCTAATTGCAGGATTAACTTAGGTGTGATAGCAGTTAAGATAAGGAGTTCATGTAGCATTAATTTTTGTGGTAACTATTAAATCGAGTAGTTATTTATTAGGAAATTAATTTGTTTGGTAGTGAAAAGTCTGAAAAGTAAATTTTACGGAGTTAAGTTGGTTGTTAATTAAATGTATGACTTCGGGCAATTTGGCCTATGTTTTTACATGGTAGATTACGAGGCCAAACTACTCTTTTATTTTTTGTTACTCATTCTACAAAAAGGCTGGAAGTTCATGTAAAACGCTCAATTCTCCTTGGCTAAGATTTCCCACCATTGAAAATGAATTAATATTTTTGTCCCGAAGACATTATTGTGCTTTTTTGGTTCTAAGTGAGCTCCAAAAAAGCATAGTCATAGCGGCTTAGAACCAAAAAAGCGTAATCATGGCGGCTTTGAGGCATCTATGTTAATTTATGTTTCAATGGTGGGAATTCTTAGCCAATGATAACTGAGCGTTTCACATGAGCGTTTTAATCAAAGTCAAAAAAAATTTACAAATTTAATTTCACTAGAGTGCAATTTTACAGGGTTTCCGGTCTTAAAAAAAACTTCATGGTATATCCGCTTGTAATATCCGCCTGTCGATCACTCGCTTAAGGTTATGTTAAAAACGAGACTTTTTTTCGAAAAATGTTTAGATTTCAATTTAAATTTGACTTCCAACAACAATTGTTTTGAGCCAGTAAAAATTTTCTCGGGCTGTTTTGTTTCTGCCCCTTAAACGCAGAAAAACTTTTTGGAACAAAAAGATCGTTTTTATTTATTGCCGTGGTCGGAAGCTTCTGTGATACTAGCGCAAGAGCCGGCTAGCTACTGTGAGAGGCAGTTTAAATAATCCAGTTACATTTGATTCATTGAGGTTCAAATTACATCTCTGAACTCACTATGCTTCTGATTTTGCTCAAAAAAAGTGCGATTCAATTGTTTGGCTATCATATTCAGAAATTTACAGCTGAAAGAATTTTTGAGTGATTTTAAAGGTTCTATCGGCCAACCAGAAATGTGATTTTTCCGGGATCATCACACAAATTATTCTCTCGTGGTCAATTGATTCACTGCCATGCTGTATAAAAGTGTCTACAAGTTGCAAGGGTGACATATATACATCTAGCTGCTTGCGTGTGCGTACAGCATTTCGAATTAGATTGCCTTCAGCTTTGATAGCAGAATGAGTGGACTTAATCTTCGTTACTGGCAAAACCGCCCTGGCAGTTGCAACAATCGGTGTAAACTTCTGGCTGACTCCTTCAAATTGCTTGATGACAGTTCGAGCATTTAATTTTCTTGCTGAATTTTCTTGGTTGTGCTTCCCAAACGTCTCGCTCAAATTGTTTTTTTAACTGTAATATCAGATGCTCGACATTTATGTTTGGTATTTTGAGCAAATCTTGTTCTGATAACTTTACTCTTCCGCTTGAAATACACTTCGTGTCCCGACGCTATGTGAATGTGTTTGTTTTTTGTTGAGAATCTTAAGTAGTTTGCTAAGCCTCATTTTTGCAAAGAATACTTTGATGAACCTTTTTTTTATCATTTTGATGCGTGCACTAATTGCAGAATAAACTTAGATGTGATAGCAGTTAAGATAAGGATTTCATGTAGCCTTAATTTTTGCGGTAAGTACTAAATCGAGTAGTTATTTATTGGGGATTTAATTTGTTTGGTAGTAAATTGACTGAATACTAATTTTTACGGAGTTAAGTTGGTTGTTAATTAATTGTACGATTTCGGGCATTTTAGCCTAGTTTTTCACAATGTAGATTACGAGGCCTAACTATCCTTTTAATTTTTGTTATACAATCAACAAAAAGGCTGGAAGTGTGTACAGCATTTCGAATCAGTTTGCTCTCAGTTTTCAGAGTAAAATGAATGTTTTGAGAGCAAAATAAGTGGATTTATTCCTTGTTACTGGCAAAACCGCCCTGGCAGTTGCAACAATCGGTGTAAACTTATGGCTGACTCCTTCAAATTGCCTGATGACAGTTCGAGCATTTGATTTTCTTGCTTAATTGTCTTGATTGTGCTCGCCACACGCCTCGCTCAAGTTGTTTTTTTTTCTGTAATAGCAGATGCTCGACATTTATGTTTGGTAATTTGAGCAAATCCAGTTCTGATATTTTTACTCGTCCGCTTGAAACACACTTCGTGTCCCGACGCTATGTGACTGTGTTTCTTTTTTGTTGAGAATCTTAAGTAATTTGCTAAGCCTCGTTTTGCAAAGACTACTTTGATGAACTTTTTTTTTAAATCATTTTGAAGCGTGCACTAATTGCAGAATAAACTTAGGTGTGATAGCAGTTAAGATAAGGAGCTCATGTAGTATTAATTTTTGCGGTAAGTACTAAATCGAGTAGTTATTTAATTAGGGATTTAATTTATTTGGTAGTGATTTGACTGAATAGTAGATTTTACAGAGTTAAGTTGGTTGTTAATTAATTGTACAAATTCGGGAGTTACGCCCTGGCAGTTGCAACAATCGGTGGAAACGTCTTCTCAAAAAAAGTTGACGAAGATGGCTGTTTAGGTAGAATTAAAATTGGAATTTTCAACTACGAAGGAATGGAAGACTCGCCGATTTTTTGTTTGAATGCAATAGAAGACAGCATTTTTAAAGCATTTTGTTTAGTGGGTCATTTTGAGACCCTGCTGACTGATTTTTCTCATAAAATCTGAGAGATGGAAAACAAACAACCCAATAAATGCGCGCTGTGGATTTTTTTTTGGAATGACTGAAGAACAGCTTGCTCAAAGTTTTTAATAAACGTTTTTCAGGCCCGCAGTTTGGTAACATCTAGAAAAACGTATCTTAATTTTTTCCGTATTTTTTTGAGAAAATAGGCGTAATTGCTAGGTGGTTCCATACCAGATAAATTAGTATGATTTGTTTGTGGCTGAAAGAACATTTTTGGAGTGATTTTAAAGGTTCTATCGGCCAACCAGAAATGTGATTTTTCCAAAACTTCAGCATTTCGGGATCACCACACAAAATTATTCTCTCGTGATCAATTGATTCCCTATATAAAAGTGTCTACAAGTTGCAAGGGTGGCATATATACATCTAGCTGCTTGCGTGTGCGTACAGCATTTCGAATTAGATTGCCTTCAGCTTTGATAGCAAAATGAGTGGATTAAGTCTTTGTTACTGCAAAAGCCGCCCTGGCAGTTGCAACAAACGGCGTTAACTTCTGGCTGACCTCTTTAAACTGCTTGTTGACAGTTCAAGAATGTGATTTTCCTGCTGAATTGTCATGATTGTGCTCCCACTTGTCTCGATCAATTCATTATTTTCTGTAATAGCAGATGCTCGTCATTTATGTTTGGTAATTTGAGTAAATGTTAAATCGAGTTATTAAATTATTGTGGATTTAAATTGTTTGGTAGTGAATTGACTGAGTAGTAAAATGTACGGTGTTAAGTTGGTTGTTAACTAATTGTACGATTTCGGGAATTTTGGCCTAAGTTTTTACAAGGTAGATTACGAGGTCAAACTAATCTTTTAATTTTTGTTGCAGATTCTACAAAAAGGCTGGAAGTTCATGTAAAACGCTCAATTCTCATTGGCTAAGATTTCCCACCATTGAAAAATAAATTAATATTTTTGTCCCGAAGACATATTTGTGCTTTTTTGGTTCTAAGTGAGCCCCAAAAAAACATAGTCATAGCGGCTTAGAACCAAAAAAGCATAATCATGGCGGCTTTGAGGCATCTATGTTAATTTATTTTTCAATGGTGGGAATTCTTAGCCAATGATAACTGAGCGTTTTACATGAGCGTTTTAATCAAATTCAAAAAAAATTTACAAAACTATTTTCACTAGATTGCAATTTTACAGGGTTTTCCGGTCTTAAAAAAAACTTCATGGTATATCCGCTTGTAATATCCGCCTGTCGATCACTCGCTTAAATTTATGTTAAAAACGAAACTTTTTTTCGAAAAATGTTTAGATTTCGATTTAGATTTGACTTCCAACAACTATTGTTTTGAGCCAGTAAAATTTTCCCGGGCTGTTTTGTTTCTGCCCCTTAAATGCAGAAAAACTTTTTGGAACAAAAAGATCGTTTTTATTTATTGCCGTGGCCGGAAGCTTCTGTGATACTAGCGCAAGAGCCGGCTAGCTACTGTGAGAGGCAGTTTAAATAATCCAGTTACATTTGATTCATTGAGGTTCATATTACATCTCTGAATTCACTATGCTTCTGATTTGGCTCAAAAAATGTGCGATTCAATTGTTTGGCTATCATATTCAGTAATTTATGCAATTAATGGGCGTTTAATGCCACTTCAACATTCGACAGGCCTATTTTAAGCAGCAAAAAATTGGTAAGTCATTGTGAACAAAAGCTGTTTTACGCGCAGAATAATTAGTCAACAACTATTTTTTGGACTGTTTTATATAAACCGTCGTAAACTGCTGATTATTAAAAGAAATTAAATGTCCCATTTTTGAAAGTCTCTATCTTTATTAAAAAGCTGCTGCATGCTGATCATCATTTTGATATCAAAATGAGGAGAACTTGGCGCCTGGAGACGTCTTCTATGCTCTTGATTTGCCTTTATGCTGTAGTTGTCAATGCCGGTAACTTTATCACTATTTCAACGTGTTTTGCCTTTGTTATGACAATATAAATATAGTATCTCATTATTTTTGTTCTGACCGTAGAAAATGGGTAGTAACTTCGATATCGGTTGTTTTAGTTTATTCAATTTTTGTTTTCCACTCAAAATTAGGTACCACAAATAATCATTGAACTGCGTGTCAATTTCTTCTTTTAATTTCTTCTTGTTTTTTCGTCAAGAAGGATATAGAAGTCCAGGCTTATTATAGTGTCGCAGATTAATTGAAAGTAAGCCCTGGGTTTTTTATTCAGTGAACGTTCGCCTTGAATTTAGCCCTGAAAAATTTAGTAAATTAACATAACCAAACCTAATAGGGAGCATCCTAATAGGGAGCGTACACAGTTTGGCCTCGTAATGTAAGCTAATTTAGTAAGTTAAGTAAATAAGCGTAAGTTTTTTTTTCAAATTCAAAAATAATGTGCAAAGAAATTGAATTTGTTTATTTTTTTTGTTTTTTCTTTGTATAAGACATTATCAAATAAAATTTTTTTCCAAAACGCCTCATTACTATGAACATTGAAAGTGTTTAAAATCCTTTCTTCGCTCAGATCCTTTCATCACAACTTGTACAAAATTGAAATATTTTTGAAAAGTAGTTCTTAGAGAATATGGTTGGAACATTCTGTGCTACTTTAACAGCAACCGGCTATCCTTTTGTCACACTATCGATCAGCACTATCGATCAGCTGTCAGACTATCGAAGATTCGTACTTAGTGTATAAGTACGAATCTTCTATTTTTTACACGCTTTAAAAAAGTTAACTTTATTCGTACATAAAGCGTTCTTTAAAAGTGTGCCTTTATTTGGTGACCTTTTTTGCCGTAATCACAATCTGTAGCATTGGAAATTCCATGGCATCTGTTCTCTGCTTTCTTTGTGGCTAGTGATGTGATTCATCAGGCTGAGTGGTTTGTGTGTGAGAACAAAAATCTATAGGTTGCACTAAGTCGGAAATCGAATCCGAGATCTAGCCGCATTTGGTCAGTTTTCCAAAAACCAGCTTTACAGGAAAAAATTAATTGCATTCCGAAGCAATTGCGATGTCGAAAAATAACAATTGTTGTATGATTTTGCTAATTTAAGTACTTTTTTAAAAACAAATTAATTAGAAAATTGCAACAGTTTTTCACTGAACTGAGTAACCCAATGTTTGACAGGACTCTTTTAATTATTTAGAATTTGATTTTTCTTGATTGCGTCAAATGATGATTCGTGTGCGAATAAACAATTTTGTATTTTTTGCAATTAGTTTTCCAATTTTTTGCAATTAAACAAATTTTCCAGCTTTTCAAACAATGAATTTCCAACGTTTTACAGAATCCTTTTTGAGAGATTTTTCAGTTGGTGTAAGTTGTTCTATATCAAACTCTGTTGCACCCCCTTTCTCTCCTCTCGGCTGTTTTTCTTTAACTCCTGTCTCAACTCGCAAGGCAAGATATTTGATGATAATTAAGCTCAAGATAACGATAAATTATCCAAAATAGGCCTAGCACGGATAGAATATATACTAACAATTATTAAGTTTTAGGGTCAGCGAGTAACCTAACTAATTGCCTCTCGCAATCCAAAATGACGGTACTATCCTATCAAATTATCCTTTCCTATTACAGAATTCCTAATTTCGTGCTTGCTCATGCACAAATGTTTCGACTATCCATCTGACATTCACCATTCTCCTAGATCAATTCGAATTCAATTTAGTGAACGATTCGCCGCCTTAAGCTCAAAAATTGTTCTACATCTTGGAGGTTCTCCCGCACTCTCCAGTTCCTTACCTCTATTTACACTTAGTTTTTGTTAAAGTTTTACCTTTCACTATCAGTCCTGGCATCCGCTCACTGCAATCGTTCGCAAATGATCTATAACTCTACCCCTTCCCCTGTCAGCACTGAGAAGAGCCTCATTCGGTTTGTTATAACAAGTTTGTCACGCTTGTAAATTATGGAGTATGGGGTAGGTGTATTAATTTGACCCAAGCAAACAAATGACATACGGGTCTAATCAATTAATTCCTGACCTCCTTTAGTTCCTTACCTCCTTCAAGTTCTAGCCCCCGAGTTCAACTCAACCTCCAAACCTTTCTATGCTTGCTCAGAAAGCCTTCGGATTTCTAGATTTTAATTATAGCGTAAAAGTTTCCGTCCTCCCTGGGTAGGGAAAGACCTTTTTCTTGGGTAGCTAAATCGCTTCAAGCATCTACAATTCCCATCTGAGCTATATTCCAATCACAGCCTTCCAGCTCAAAGGGGGACGTTATTCGTCTATTAAGGATCAATTTAAAATAAAAAGTCACATCAGCGGAGACCAATGTAGTTCCCGTTCAATCAATTTTTAGGAGACTTACTTCCCATGCCGCGCTCCTATTACGATTACTGCCAGTTTTTTTCTGTGACTACTTCTCTTCGGTCTAATTGAGTTGCTGTTAAGAGCTTAACTGCATAGCTGAGCTCAACCCAAGGTTTATGAAAGCCACTTTATTTGATTCTACTGATCCAACATTATAGGCAAATGCCAGGATATTTCTTGAGGCCCGAAAGTTTTTAATAGTAAACCCTCTCAGGTACCTATCATCCAGCCTTGACCCCACTAAAAGATCTCATTATTTTCTCAATAACATTTTTAAGGAGATATGTCACGTTCCCGTGTTAGTTCTGGGGTTTTCTTTGTAGTTTTGGTCCTAAACGCCAAAAGGTCACTTAATGTCGACCCGGGGTCAGTCTCTCATTTTCAGGTTTGAAATTTTATGAGGGTACTACTTATCGAGTTTTGTCTACAAACGATTAATATTTCACGAGTAATCACATTTCTAAGGTCCCTTATCACTTTTCCCGGGAATTGGCTACTAACATCAGAAGTGTTTGATTCACCAGGGTTCTTTTTCCGGCGGTGGGGACTAATATCTAATGCCGGTATAAAAATAGTCTGCCTTCGCTCCTTAATTGCATAAATTGTCTATTTCTGGTCTAAGCGGGTGCTTTTCGAGTTGCTAGTAGCTTCGGATCTAACTGTTGGATATGGTTCAATTTATAGAACATGATCTAACTTGCGACTACCTATCAAGCCTCCAAGTGTTAGCTTCCTACGATCTACTGGGGTCGAGAAATAACAATTGGAACTTAGCGGTGAGTTTGGTTACTTGGGGCATAAAACGGAAGGACATCCAGGGTGTCTGGGGTTCCATACTTAAGCTTTCCTCAACTACGTCTATAACAAGCCAGGTCTAAATTTTGGGGCCGTTCCAACCTCTAATTGCCGAAATGTGATAGGGGCATTTACACTTCCTGTAACCGTTGCCACCAGCCCCAGGGGAGACCGAGGGGTCCGGGTTTATACATGCCCGGCTCAAGTCATCTCTGAAACCGCCCCTCTCAGTTTCATAGTCTTAGTCCCAGCAGTTCTCAAATTGGGGGTGTTCCGCCGATTTCGCGCGATATTTAAGTTCTGGCATCATAGCGACTTTTTTCTCCAATTTTGTCTAGTCTAGGCAAAACTCATTAATTACTTGTCTACCTATCGCTTTGAGCATTCAATGATCAGCTACGTATTTTAATAAGAGTTACTAGACGCCATAAAACTCCCAAGGTTATGTTCTTTCAGCCGATTTGGCCAAAGAGTTGGCCAAAGATCTTTTAGGATCACTTTCCAGCTTTTCAAACAAGGATCTTGCCCAAGGAAGATTGTGATTTTGTGGATAGTTTTTTTGACAATTTGAGAAAATTTCGCTCTTTGTTTTTCCATCTTTTCCCAATAATCATTTTGCTTCTTGCTGCTTTGCTGTTTTTAGTGATATTTTTAAAAAATTTGAGATCGATACAGTAATTGAAACAAATTCAAATGGTTATGGTAGCAGGCTTGGTAATGAGACTGAATAATGCCATTAGACTGGTAACAATAAGCTACCTTTGAGATTATTCCATTCTATTTAAAAAATGTTTCAATCGAAAAAAATTGCAAAATGATGCTTAGAATTTGTAAGACGTCTTTTCAATTATCTGTCTTTAACTGGAAACCTTGAATGAGTAAAATAAATCATTTTAAGTTTTAGCCAAACAACCAATTTTGTATGTCACAATGTCGAAATAGTCTGTGAGATGAAGGAAAATCATGGAAGGGAGAACCAATTTATCGCGCCCTCTGATGAACAATTAGCACATTTTCGATAAACTAAAAGTTCAGCTGAGAGAACATAACCTTGTGCGTTGCAAGGAGTATAGTAAAGCTTTTTAGTTGTATGTAGCTGGATTTTGACTGAACAATACGTTTAAAACAAAAACAATTAAATGAACACTCGAAATTATTCAATTACTTGAAGAACTAGTCACAACTTTAGCCAAATTTTTAAGATGTTAACCGAAATTGGTGATCCCTCAAATTAGAACTATGTAAGTTTGTTTAATAAAACAGAATATGCAAAAATTCAGAGCCCTTGGACCCTGCCTTGGGTATAAGATAACGGTTTCATGAAGTGTAAATAGCTCCAAAACAAATCAGGATCCAGTGGTCAAAATGGGCTCAAAATAGAATTGTAGCAGACCTCAAATTATGAAACGTCGCTATAAATCCATGGAGCCGAAACTTTGACATGTGGTAAGTAGTGACATCATGTATTATAAGTTGAGTCGAATTCGGTGATTGGACCGGAAGTTATTAGCACTTGGAAAAAAAATCCTTTTTCCCAGAAATAGGCAATTTACGCTAAAAAAATGGGTGAAAGCAAATTAATTTTATGACGGCAAGGGACACAAGAGACAAATCTTAAAAAAAGCCGCCCAATGAATGAAACCCCTCTTGCTACTCCTTCCGGCGCTAATAGTCCTTTTCCAGAGAAATTGATTACTGCCAATGAAAATGGGAAAACCTGGGGGTTACTAACGGAGTTTGCACAAAAATTGGTGGGCAGGACCTTCACGAGATTCTCACTCCAAATGTAGAAGGTGGACTTTGATGACACCGAGGTG